TGATTTATGAAAATACCTTACTTATTACAATGGACCATTTTGAGAATTTACTCATCAATAATTTATGAATTATTTAAAACTTAAAAAAATCTTTTAAATTTCAAATCAAATACACATCTTTAAATAGAAAAACCATTTTGGGAAAGTACTTCATTATAAATGATTATTTTAAGAATTAATTCTAAATTTAGTGAATAAAAAATATTCTCAATTAATCTTCATTTGAGTAACATTATTTACGAAGGACCATCTTGGGAATAAATCTCAATTATAGAGGACCACGTAGGTAATTAAAATTTATTGAGGATTGATTTGGGAAAACACCTTATTATAAAGGACTATTTTGGGAATAAATCTTAATTATAGAGGACCATGTTGGTAATTAAAACTTATTGAGGACTAATTTGGGAAAACCCCTTATTACAAAGGACTATTTTGGAAATTTACTCTCAATATTAACTTACCTGCATATACTGGAATTCAACGAGCAGTTTCAAATCCTCATAATTTGGTAATTGCATAAGAAACCCCTTCAAGCCACCCCTGCAAGCAGTCAGAAAGGGTTCAGCACCAAATACCATTTCAATGTCTTCTAACTTGGGAGCCATGGTGGGAATTCACATTTTAATGTTTCAAGTCTCGGCATAGAGATCTCAATCCTCTTCAAGCCATAACCACCGTCTATCCCGAAATATTTCAATATGGGTTTAAATGAAACTGAATAAGTAACTCACAACTCTTATTTGTTTTTTCTAAATATATTCAAACTATAAAGTTTTTATTTTTAACATTTTTTAAACTACGTACATGAAAGTCAAATAAGGATATTTTTTCAAATGACGGGAATATATATTTTTTCAAATAGATATGTTAAATAAATAGAAATTCTAATTTGAAAAAATCTATTGTAAATATTTCATTTAAAAGATTTTTATATTTTGTTTATATATATGACTATCAATCGATAAATATGTGTAAATTTGACGTATATATGATAATATATATAATCATATAATAAGACTTATTTTAAAAATAGAAAACGTTTGAAACGCGTACGTATCCATATCCATATGCCCCAACGTTTAATATGCATAATAAGGCGTATTTTATAAAATCCTAACGTATTATACACTAACGTACGTATTTATGTATTATACGTTTTCCGTATATTACTAACTATGCTATGTACAATGTACACTACAACCAACCAAAATGATATTACTAAAGACTATCATCGAATAGCCTTTTTCAAAACGTTGATCTTTAACGCTGATGTCAAACAGAGCCAAAGAAAGTTTTTGGCAAGAAACTATAAAGTTGAAGGGTATCCACCATAGTACTTCTGTTATTGCATCACATCAAATTTCACTAACTTTATACTTTTTTACTGTAAATGAAGATATACATATGCCAAATAGCTAATTTACCACAACTATTTTTTAAAATAATTAGTTTAAACTAATACTGAATTAATATAAATTGATTTAAAAATCTACAAACCTGTATAAAAAATTATTTAAAAATAGAAACAAAATAAATATTAATAAAAATAAGATGACACTCATTAATTCAAATTGATTTTAAAATACAAATTGGAAACAACATAAAAGTTTACAAAAATAAATAGAAAATAACATACAAAAAATAAATCATTTTACTTTGTTGTAGAGAGAGAAAATAACAATTAAACAAATAACATATGGATTGAATTGAATTTTTTAATAAAAAAAATTTTAAAATAATATGAGACTTTGTTAAACTAAATTGATATTAGAATACATATAGGAAATAAGTCAAATAACACATTCCGTTAAACATTACAATATCAAATACTCCGTACTCTATAGAAAATAATGTATAAAATCAAATCCATTTAGTTTTTTTATAGTAAAAATTGGGTTTAGAGAGAGAGAAGTTTAAAGTGGATATGAAACAAAGATATGCTTGTTTGTTTATATAGGTTGTAATTATTAAATGAAAACATTTTTTAATACTCCTTACTATACATCAAGAGAATGGAGAGAGACGTAGTTTGATGAGTAAACACATATACTTGCATATTTTTTGTGGTACCAAAAGGTAAAGAATGGTGTTACGCACTTTGCCAAATTGTGACATGAGCCATTTTGGTACCAAATGCACTTCACCTGCTCCATATCGTTCACCCTAAGAAGGGTTGGTTGGAGACAATTTTTATCAAGGAATGGTTATTTGTGTGAGTAATTTCTTGACTAAATTCTCAAAATAGTACTCCATAAGTATGTGTTTTTTCAAATTAGTCCCTAAAACTAACTAATTTTCGAGATGGTATTTATTAATTGAGAATAATGCTCAATTCAGTTCCCTCAACTAACGTTTGTTAAAATGACATTTAAAGGACGTTAAACTTTATATACTACTATCCCAAAATGGTACTCTCTATCGGCGTGTTTTCTCAAATTGGTCCATTTTCAAAATAAAAATATATTAATTATGAATTTTTTTTTGAAATGTTATAGGTTGACTATATAATATCAAAAACTATAAATAAAATTTTATAAATTTGAAACTAAATGTTTTAGATATAATTTACAATTCTTTAGAAGAATATCATGTAAATAAAAAGTTTAATAAATGTTAAAGAAATCACCATAAATGTGAGTAAAATATAGAGAAAGAGCTCATATTTTTATACTCCCTCTGTCCCCCATAGATCTTCCCAATAGCCCTTTTTCTTTGTCCACAATAAATCTTCTCATTTCATTTTTTAACAATTAAAATACCACAACTACCCTCACTTACTTTATTTATTACACCTCACACACCTCATTTAATACACTCCACCCATATTTTATTAAGGGTATTATGCTAAACTTTCACCTTTTTTCAACTTTCCTTAAAAATCACTAAAAGTCAAAATGAGAACATGACGGAGGGAGTACTTTATTTTTTTCTCATATGTAGAGTGAATTCTTTAACATTTATTAAATATTTTATTTACATGATATTCTAAAACCTAAAACATTTCTTTCGTATACATAAAATTATATTTATACTTTTTGGTATTATATGGTCATCGTTTTAAATTTAAAATATTTTTCCATAATTAATGTATTTTTATTTTGAAAACGAACTAATTTGAGAAAAGCACCCAGTTATAAAGTACCATTTTGGAACATAGTATTAGGTTTAATGTCGTTTTAATGGCCGTTAGTCGTGGGACTAACCTGAATATCATTCTCAATTAATGAGTATCGTCTCGGGAATTGATTAATTTTGGGGACTAATTTGGAAAAACACATAGTTATATTGAGTATCATTTTTATAATATTATTTGTAAAACTACCAATAATATGATTTCTATTTTACTTGATGTTTCTTTTCCTTGATGCATTTTTGCCCCCAAAGCCCAATAGGCACTCCCACTTTGTGCTATTATCTTGATCTGATTGAAATAAATTTTTATCTGATCTAATTCTTGTTATATTTAAAGTTATATATTATCAAATCTGATTATAATAAAAAGAAGTAATAAATTGTAGAGAACGAACTCTATGTGTGCGGCTGTGAATATAGCTTTTAACCTAGAAAAATACTAAAGTAGAAGTAAAACATTAAAATGTACCAAAATGAGAGTTTCATATTTTCATTTTCGAAATAGAAGTTAAAATAAATATATAGTGTCAATCATGATCATATACATTATCAAAATGTATTATGAAATGTAAACATTACAATTTACAACCGTGTAAACTCTTAATTTTAGAATAAAAACATAGAATAGTTATTTTAATACTTTTTCAATGTTTTATTCCTATCATTTGGACTGGGTTAGACCAGTCCATATAAATAAATACTCCCTCCGTCCGGAAATGTTCTTCTCGTGTTGACTTGGCACG